AAATTCATCTAAATACAGTATATTTGGCAAGGGAAAAAATCGGGTTAAATATAAAGTGTTACAAGATGCAAAGGGAAGAGGAAGATTGGGTTTCAAATTGTATTTTGCCGCTTGTTTGGTCTGGATTAAAGAATGGGTGGTGCTGAGAAAAAAAGAGACTTTTGGAGCTAGAAGATTATGACCGGGGGTTTGGATAACATGGATATTTATAATATAAAGAAGTTTAAAGTTAATGTAAATTTCAAAATCATTTTATTACTGAGAACATGGAATAGATGGAATACATGTTGTGTCCAACCCCTCCCCGCTTTATGGATCTAAGTCTTAGAAGCCTGTAATAGAAAAGAAGCAACAGGCAAGGACAAATGGTTCATGTATCAAGAATCATCGGAAAAACATTAAGGGGAATTTAAAATTAAATCAAGAGAACAATTAATAGCAGAAGGATGTAGTTGTCGATGGTTTTCCTATTTATAGTTATCGGAAGGATTCAAACTGGCAAAAAAAATATGCTATGAAGTGAAACAGGAATTTGAAGTATAGTTATATATTGATAATAAATATGTAATTGCTAAAATGTATACACTTTTGTTGGAATTTGAAACAGAAGAACTGATGAAATGAGCTAGGAATTTTGGTTATAATATATAAATGGGTCAGGGAAAATATGTGTTTAAAAGGTCAAACTTTACATTGTTAGGATCTTAAAGGAATTTTTATTGAATAATGTATTGTTGGTATATGATATCAGAGAAATGATCTACCGTAGAACATATAAAAGATATTTCAAAAGTAGGTTGCCAGTGTAAACGATACAAGGAGACATTTTATCATGCTTGGTAGATATGTAAAAAAGCTTTTAAAACTGGGTTCAAATACATATTTCAGTGTAGAGGATTTGAAAGATTAATATTCAATCAATATTGTTTTTAGATTAATGCATAAATGGGAAAAACCCATGAAAGATTATTTTAATATATGACTATTGTGAACAGTTGATTATATGCCTAATAATGAAAAAAAATCGATAGTATTCATTATGGAGGAATGGTTGGTGAAATGGACACATCTTGCTGAGATAATTTAACTTTTTTGATTAGACACAACATTTATTGCTGAAACCCCTTGTAGATGTTTTATGTAAAAATGAAAAAAAAATATGAACTTGTGATTTATGTCTTTGATGTTTACATGTAATCCTCAAGTTATGACCAGTCACTTGGTAGCTGTTCAGAGTTATGGTGGATCTCCTTGAGGGTACTTATAACCCAGTTCTGAAGTTCCAACACCTTTTGCCCTCCCACAGTCACATGATCATATTTCAGGCCCTAGGCATTTGGCCTGCATTTATGGCCACTTGAACATCCTGCAGTCACATGACCACATTTTACAACATTTTACAAATGTTTTTTTTGTTTGCAAAACCTGCTAATAGCTTGTATTTTTTTTCTGTTTTCCTTCGACATTTTTCCTTGCAATTTTCTTTTTCTTTCTTTCTTTTTTTCTTTTTTTCTTTCTCTCTCTGTCTTTCTTTTTCTTATTTAGGGAGTTAGGAAATTTATTTTTTAACTCACTTTTTAAAAGTTTTAATAAAATCATAAAATGTAGAGCAACTGAAGACAGGATTTTAGAAATGTCTTTAACTTTTATCTCTTTTTTTCACATGTGTCCTTAATTTCAGTTTAAAAGGAATTTCAATAAATTAGTAACCACTACAAGCTGTTAGTTTGTGTATATAGTAAAGTCAAGTTTCCAGCAATCTTGTTTAAAATGTTTGGGAGAGTGTTCAGGTTATCAATCAACAGTTCACCAAACCAAAAGATAGGCCTTCAGGAACATACATTATTACCATAAATGCCTAGAAGATTCTGGTTGAGAACATTACTAAATCAGCAAAGCATTTACTTGGATTTCATGGTTTATGCTGATGTTGTATTTTGCTTTATGTTGTATTTTAAGCTCTGTATTTGTATTTTATTTCAAAAATATTTGTCAATGCATAGAAGGGGTTATTACTGAAATTGACACTAACTCTGTGCTTGATGCAATGGAAAATGATAAACTAGGGCAGTGGTGGCAAACCTTTTTGGGCTCCTATGCCAAAAATTGTGCATGCGCTTGCACACTCGTGCTCACGTGCCAGCACCCAGAAGGCAATGTGCACTTCCCCCCACATCCCCTACACATGTGCAGGTAATCCCTGCCTGCCCACCCCCACTGCCCCCTTACTTGCACTGCACCTCACAGCTGATTTTTGGCCGGTTTGAGGCTTTTTTTGGTCTCCCAGAGGCTTGAGGAAGACTTCTGCAGGCTTTGCAGGCCAAAAACTAGGCCCGTTTCATCACTTCCGGTATTTTCTGAAAATCAGCCGTGAGGTGTGCGCATGCGCAGTGAGGTAAGTTTGCCTGCAGCTCGTGAGCCTGCACAAATGGCTCTGCGTGCCACCTATGACACTTGTGCCATAGGTTCGCCATCACGGAACTAGGGCATATGAAACTGACTAAAATTGCAGTAATAACAAGGCTCAGCAACGAAATTGCATTCATTCTGCTCTCCTCCTTTGTAGTTCACTGCCTTTTGGCTTCTGCCTGTGTAAATTGCTAGGATTTCAAAAAATGTTCTATTACTGTACATGTACTAGTTAATCATCTCTGCCAGCAGAAGTAGCTGCTGTTCTTAATGAATAATTTACAAAATTGATCGCTCACATTGCTCAGTAATACAGTGTCAGACATATAGAATGACAACATGCAATGTTGTCTAGCTCTAACATCTACTGTGATTGATCCCCAGTATACATTCTTAGTGATGCTTTTACCTGGCTTTTATCATTTATATTATATATGTACATTATTTTCATAGTGATATTTGGTTCAGATCGATGCTTGCCTTTGGATGCAAATATGGCTTATAAATACATTATTTTAATTTTGAACCCAAAAAGAGCTTGATTTCCAGGTCTCCCGGATTGTAGAGAAAGTTGAACCATGATTATATTTTAATGTGATTTATAGATAGAAGAGAGGAAAAAAGGTGCTTGGGTTTCTAACAAATTCACACTCTTAAAAGAAAAAATTAGCCTACAAAGCAACTTCCATCTTTCTATATTATGTAGCATTTTTTTTGGAAATGGGGTAATTTTTAAAAAAATCACGTTCAAGGAATAAACAGGATTTTCTTGTTAGAGCATATCAGTTACCAAGGGCCCCAAAATGCAGTCACGTGACTGTGGAGGGGCGGGGCACAATATTTTCTCCCACACATTACCATTTTTGACCCATTCCTCTTTGAAAAATTGCTTCAACTCACATATCTTTTTGATTTGTCTTTTTATTTGCTTTAGGATATTCTATATTTCACCTGTTAAGGGTAGGACTTTGACTCAGCCTTTCCAAAACTCAATATTTATTCTGTTCTCTCAATATTTACTATAAGTTTGTTGTGTTATTTATTCTATATATCTTCTGACCTTTTTTTGTAGAATTGGTAAGTCCAGAATTCATTATAAGCCAACTAGATCCTGAACCTGCAAAACGCATCATGTGTCATAATTGGGATGAACTTATTTTGTTGAAATGCAGTGAGATTTTTTTCTCCAAATACATTTCTCATTAATGCCAACAGTTTGCACATTTGTTTCAACTGTCATCAAAGCATTATTCATAGCCTACTGTTTAGCCAAGTAAACTTGACACAATCCTTGGCTACCCCCATGTATATTCTCTTTAAGTTTTTCCTGACATAAGAATGATTTGCAGATGCTGTTACTGTGAAGTTCCATTACTTAGTGGCCTGCAAGCCCTTTTTCTTTATTCGTGTAGTATAATATAACTTTATTTTAAGGTAATGTTTTTGGATGATAATTTCTGGGAAGAGTAGCGGTGTTGCATTTTTCCATTTTTGCGCACTCTACTGGACTGTGAATTGAAGAAAGCCAACATCTTTGTCAGTAGTTTTATAGTCTTTTTTGGGCTCATATCTGCAACTATTATTCTGATCAGGATATGATTCATTTCCACAACTTGTACTGTGGGGATAAACAAAAAATCTGGTTTTGTTCTGGAGAGGGGCCCACCAAGATCAGATCTTATTAATATTTGATCCAACTCACTTTCTTAAAAGAGTTGATTGTCTAGGTTTTTAGATATTTTTCTAACAGAGGCAGCTCATACTAGCTCCATGAGATCAATAAAGACATCAAGATCTTTGGGTTGTTTGTTTTGCTAAAATCTCTTCATTAATAAGACTTAAATGAATCTCTGATCATATTGTAAATTATGATACTAAAGAAATATGGATAATTCTAAAAGATTCGCAGACCTTACCGTTATATCACCTCTTGATTCTATACTTTTGGATAATCTGATTAGAGTTTATAACTGAAAATCAATATGACAAAGGTGGAGAGTAGTTGCAGAGAGCATATGGAAATGTATATAAAGGAAGCAAATGAAAGAAGTAGATGATGCACATCCGTTTTAAAAGTTGATTTAGCAATGAATTTATATTTCAAAATGTGTTATGGAATTCCTGACCAACAAGGTTTTAGTCTTTCTTTGAAAAGGTAGTTTGGAAGTACAGTGTTTAGCCAATGCTTTCTGCCTGCTAGTAGAAGAAATAAGTTAGCAGAATACTTTTCCTGTCCACTCTAGCATAGAGAGAAAAAAAGAGGGGAAATGCAGATGAATAATGTTGTATAATTGCTTAATATATTTCAGTCGTCAACATGTAAAAAGTGAGTGATTTGAAGTTTAATAAGTTCTTCCATTTATGTTAGACATAATCTTTTAGTATTAATTTTATTAACATTAAACTTATCCAAATTAAAGATAATTATTGGATGTTTGAGGGTTGAATATAAAGTGTGCCATATCTCACAGTCAGAATTATTCCAGATTTGTAGCTTCAGAAACCAAATCACACAAAAGAGAGTTATTTATAAATCATTCTTTCATTTAAAAAATGTTACAAATAAAAATGTTTTTCTTTTGTTTTTCTAGGTAAAAAGAAGAGTTCCAGATATCATTTTTTTTTAAATGATGTGAAGATTATTAAAGCAAATATGAATAAAGACTAATATTATATGTCATAGAAGTGTGACAGTGGATCAGTCTGAGCAGACAAAATGTTGTAGGACATAAGTTTGGAAGAAGACTGCATTTTTGTTTTCTGTCAATTGTTTTATTTTTATGACAATCTTTGAAAATTGTGAGGCTTCCAGTTCTGGATTTACTCTCTGTAAAATTGAAGCAAAACTTATTTCTATTTTAAAGAAGCAAAACTTACTTTCTATTTTTAAAAGTAAAAAGTATATTTATTAAGGGTTTAAGAAGACTAAAACAGGACCAATCCTCAGTTTGCTCCTCACAATTCCTCTGGAAGAAAAAGGATTTTCAGCTCAGCCTTCTACCAGCTGTTATTAGGATTTAGCATTCAAGAGAAAAATAAATGCAAGCAACTGCCACTCAGCCCTAGTTTCTGATGAAATCAAGGGGCAGGGTTCTAACCCTGGGAGAAAAGAGCATTCTAGAGGCAGAAAAACATGTGTTCTAGACTAGCATATTTACCAGTAATGTAACTATCCCTAAACATCACCCACAATACATTGCTTTATCTTGAAAACAGATTAGAAAGGGAAAACTCTGCCTCGAAAATTATTGTGCAATTTCTGAAAATAATAATGAAGTAATAATACATCAAAAACCATTGGAGCTTATATCTAGTACAACATTTTTCTTGGAATTTTTGTCCAATCCATCTTCTCATCTTGCACTAAAAATTCCAATCCAGCTGCAGTTTTCTGCCTTATTGAACTATTTTTTTCATCTTCAGAAGGTGATATTCTCCAGAAACTACATGGCGACTACTTTTTCCAGAATTTAGTTTTATGTTATTATTTTTCGAAAGGAATCTTGGGATTAGGTTTATTATTCTCCTGATTGGATCTTGTTCTGTTCATTTAATAATTCTATCCAGATTTATTTATTTTTTGATCAATGCCATCTTGAATTATAATTGTGAATAAGATCTGGCTCTTAACAGACAAATTGGAGAACTTGGACAATCTTTTAAGCTTTCCCCTGATTTCTTGTTTTGTTTTGTATTTTGAGAAAGCTTCTTTCCCTAATTTTCTTACCCTTCTTGACTCCTGTTGGGCCTGGGCTATGCTGCAGGGCAGATCATCCACCAAAGCTCCAACATGCCAGCAGCATCTGGAAAGAGATTCAAACCTAGCAAGTATGTCCCGGTATCAGCTGCTGCAATCTTCTTAGTAGGAGCCACCACTCTCTTCTTCGCTTTTACGTGAGTCAGAAATATCTATTACTGGGATGTGCAATGGAATGAACTGGGGAGTAATGATATGATGTTGGTGTCTTTGCACCCATTGCAAGAGTATATAAAAATCAGAGGTGTGTTCTGTTTCATTAATTTTGCAGAAGTAGAGATAGGATTGATGCAAAATAAAAGGAGAATGAAAATCTTCACTGAATTCCTTAGATAACTATATATAACAATACTACCAATGTGTTTATCACAACACGTTTATCACACTTAACACATTTTAGAATAAAGTGAGCTTCTTTTCACTATTCAGTCTTCAGTTAAATTTTATAGATAAATGTCCTTGTAAAATTCTAATAAAAACTCTTAATTATTGTCCTAATAAGTTTCTTGCTATTAGAACAGCAGTTTTCCTACCAGAAGTTTCAGATGAAGATTTGTACCATGTGTTACTGATTTTTGGCAAGGATCATCACCATTCTACATTGCCTTAAAACCACAAATCAATCATTAAAGCCACCTTAGCAGTATTACCAAAACTGGACTCTTTCAAGCCTTACTATCAGAAGAAAGATTTTATGTTATACTGACATACATTTCAACATCAATTTCTCTTACACAAAACTTTATATTTTATTTGGAACAGATTGCTGCTTTAATAGTATGCAAAACTACTGCAAATGTGATCCTTTTAAGTTTTTATTCTTGATTATTATTTGATTATTATGAATATTGTGACTTTCCCTTTAAATTAAATAAAAGCGTTAGTATAATAGTTGATATAATTAAAAGAATAACTACTATTTCTGTGCATTTAATTAAATAATATGGTGGCATTTTTAATCTTAAATTTATTTTTAGTCATACAAGATGAGGGCAATTTCAGGTTTATACCTGGCTTTATTTATCTATCTCTTATGTAAACAGTGAGGCTGCGTATTGTTTTATATTTAAACGAAAAAGATTTGGAATATAGACAAGACCCATTCGCTGTCCTTTAAATCATGCACATCTTTTGGGATGTTACTATTGGAGTAACCTTGTGAATCCAAGGAGAAACAAAACTTTTAAAGGAATTGTCAACAGATGCATGAGTGTAGATGCATACGTTTTCCTTTGAATTTAAACTACTGCTAAATCACAGTGGTATTTCTATTAACATTTAAAATTAGAATATGGAGCCATTTCCTGTATCAAGCAAATATTTAATGTGCCACTTTATCTCTAACAAGATATATTTCAAATATATTCTAATGTAGCCCAAATGTTTTAAGCTGCATTGGTGCCAGTCTACCATTTAAGAATTATTGGTGTGCATATATGCATGATGCATGGTAATATGATATTAAGAGTGATGCACTCTTGTACATAAGTTAAAGTTAGTAAAACTGGTTATGCTGAGAAATATACTCTACATACCATGTTTACGTAACTTGTTTCTTAAGTGCATAACTACTGAAGAGAATGGATGAGATACTGTCTCTCAAACAAATCATGTTACATGATAGCTAGGTATATACTGCTTGTTGGCATAGTGCATACATTGAAGAGAAGCTTTACTAATAGCAAGTGGTTTCACTAGTTTTACAGGCTATAGCTGCCTCACCCATGCTGCCATATGATGATGATGTTGCACCTCATCATCCATATGAGTATGCATAGGAGGTGTGTATTTCAAGTTTTTGAATAGGTGATCTCCAAACTGAACAAACTTCCAACTGAGCAAATATAAAATGTTTATATTATTCTATACATAAGAAAAATGATGGAGGGGACCTAAAAAAGAGAAAAATGAACATGATACGAAAAGCTAGAGAACAATAGGCTCACCAAAGATTTAAAAATGTATATGACTTGTCAAATACATATTTTAAAAACTGCTTTCAAAGCTGAATAAAAGTTAAAACATTGAAGTCATTAAACAAAGTTTTAAAATGATATATATTTTTTTTAAAAATGGAACATAAAAAATAAAGCAATTCATGTGTAATTTAACATCAAAGTATATTTGTCATTTTAATTTAATTTTAGAGATATTTGTTAAAATATTGTTCAGTTTCTGCTTTGATGTAAATATCTTTCCAGGTAGCTCCTTTTCTGTATATACATGGAGTGTGTGTGTGTGTGTGTGTAAGCTTATATTAGATTGTACCCTGCAAAGTATGAATGTTTAATTTTGAAGTTGCAAAACTATGAATAAACCCAATACTGCAAACAGGCTGCAGTTTTGGCGCATAATGAATGGTTTAATCATATCCAATGGCTGTTGAAAATATGCAGAGCTAAATGTTTTTAGATTAGTCCATCTATGATATCTTAGTCTTCTACATTTTAGCACAGTCTGATTGGAGTAATTCATGGAGCCTTGCATTCAACAAAAGAGCCAGCAAGCTGCATGGAATGAGGGTGCTGTCCTTCAATTTGTTCTTCCAGGGATTATATATTCGTTTTTAAAAAGGTGTATAAATTAGCAATTACTATAGATTGCCAGTTAACATTAGTAGACGGTCTAATCTTGTATAAAGTCTGGTATCAGACTCAGTAAAGCTGGTAAATGTAGATTAAAGACATTATGTGCTATTATTCACAAAACTGTTAAAATACATCCTTTATGGTGTGTTTTGTAGTTCTACTTCAGTTTGCAGGGCAGACTCTCTGCAGTCTTTCTGTACACTGCACTGCCCAGACACCATCTTGTCTCCAATGCTATTTAATTTCTATATGAAGCTGTTGGCTGTCATCACTGGGTAATTTGGAGCAGAGTATACCAGGATGCTAATGACATCTAGCCCTATTTCTTAATGACATCAGGATGACTAAACTGGTAGTAAAAGCAACATACTGGATGAGAGTTAATCTGAAATTAAGTTTTAGGATAAAAATGTTAATAGGGAATGGTTCTTAGGCCTGGGAATTGGGCTAGCTCTGAATGCGGGGGCAGTTATTTGAATTAACAGCAGGAAAGTTTTTTTCAGATGTGGCTTCGAGTGTGCCTGCTTTAAGGAAGTTACATGTTCTTTTGGTTTCACATAATAGGCAAGAATAATATACTACTGTGTGAACCCAAGAAAAATAATGGTTGTTTAAATACACTCAGACAAATATAGCAAGCATGCCAATGCCAGGTACAAAGTACTGTACCTTTCTTATCTTCAGTAAATCTGAGGAGGTTGTTGAGTAATTGTACATCCTTTGATAATATAGTACTTCTGAAGAAGAGATTTGCAATCTAGAGTTTCCCTGGCACCATCTTTTTTACTAGAGGCATAAGAACACTTATTACTAGCTGGCTAGGAACATTTATTACAATCTGGATGCTAATATTTCAACTCTACCTATTCCTTGATTAGGACAACATAGTTCATGCTATGACAACATCAATACTAAAGTACAGTAATCCTGTCTTAATGACAGTATTTGGGATTGGCAATTCTGTCACTAAATGACAGTCACAAAACTCAATATTCTATAACTACGCCCACAATGGCAGTTGCAGCAGTTCCAGTTGCTGCTGTTAAGCAGTCCTTGCATGCTTGTTAGGTGTGACATCACAGGATCCATTTGCAATCTCCTTTTGGCTTCCCTATTGACTTTGCTTGTTGGAAACCAGCAGTAAAAGTCACATATGGCAATCCCCTGACCATATGATGCTATAACTGTTAGAATTTCATGCCAGTTTGCCCAAATCATGATCACGTGGTGGTAGATAGGCTGCAGTTAGAAGAACCAATCCTAATTCTCCTCTTTCAGCACTGAATGAGGGATCATTAAACAAGGACTACCTATAACATGTTATATGCATCTTTAGGATGGATTACAAGCAGTACCCCTCCGAAGGCAGGGGTGTGAAACTGGATTTCTTCAAGGGCTAGATCAGCATTGTAGTTGTCTCTCTGGGCTAGCGGTGGGGTGGGGGGTGGGGGAGACAGGATGGAAGCTTCCTGCAATACTCTGCAGGCCAAAATGTGGTGCAGGGGGCATGCGAGGCCTCCTGTGGGGTGGTCCTTTGCTATTTCCAGGCCAGCCCCATGGGCCAGATCTAACCTTGAGTTTGACACCCCTGCCCTAAGGTATCCAATTTGACTGTATACATATTAAACTTATGCTGCAGTATCACTGCCATTTTTCTCTAGAGTCAGTCTTAGGGTAATTTGTAACAGTATATAATATTGTAAATAATTTGGAACTATTTGTTTGGAAACTATTCATTTATTTTTGTGATCTACTTGACTTCTTTGTTCCAAAAAGGTCTGACTGGTTTATTTATAATAGAAAAGTAAAATAGAATTAAAAGAACAATTAACCAACCCCTAAAATCCAATAATAACATGTAACCTTTGACACACAAGGAAAATAAAATCAGAAACATTGGTTTTCCAAGAACCTCTTATTCTAGGAAGGTCTTGCTGTCTCCACTTTGATTTGCAGATTACTAGTTAGTAACACTGTGAAGATGGAGGCACCTTGTAATGGCATTTGCTCAGCAAAATAAGCTCCTATGATTTGTAAGGACTAACATTGATACTTTTAAATCTAGACATCTTTTTAAAATTCTTCCTTGTGCATACATATATACACACAGAGGTTTTCTTAGTTTCCTCAACTTTTGTAAACTCTGATTTTTAAAATTAAAAACAGTTGTATAACTGAAACATTGCTACCTAATTATCCACATACTATGTAAATAAACTAGTATTCTGTTTCTTACTAAGTAGTTAGATATAGTATTATATCAACAGTAACCTAGAACATACCTATTATGTCAAAGGCAGGTTGGATTTGATTTATATCAATTTGATTGAAATCACTAGTAAAAAGGCTTTATTTAAATCAACTTGATTTAAATCATAATTTTTAAAGAGCAACTGTCATCTGTCCCGCAGCAGTTTCTCCTTTGACCCACTGTTGACTCACTGACAGTCCCATTCACTTTTAATGGGATGGCTGGTGATGTGGAAGTGGCACAACAAGGTGAGGGACGTGACAGGCAGTAGTTGAGTGGATACCCACTAATAGGCATT